TATGGAGATGTTTATGTTTAATGCTCAGTGTTGAAGAAGCTGTGCTCTGGAGTGTACAGTTACAAGAAAGATTCATTCCCTGCTTGTTTTATCTGTTTCTGCATGTAACATTGACCCTGACTGTTCAGACTTTGTCTAAACAGGCAACTGGAGATAAAAATCATGTGCATTTTTTAAAACTCTCAGTCTCCTTTCAGAATCATAGATGCACAGAGTCCATTTTCATCATGTAAGCCTTTCATCTTTCTGGTGCCAAAGATGACCTGCAGAAATAGCCCAATGATTCTCAGTCTTTGGTTTGTCAGCTGTCCTCTAACACCAGACTTATTGGACGCAGCAGAGAAGCAGAACGAGTGCCCAGCTAGCCTGCTAGGTTAGCTAGGAATTTAAGATCTTTGTCCACTTCCTGTTAGTCAGGGGCTGGCTTATTATTTATATAGCTAGGGTCACTCCCATAGCTGTGATCTCACTTTACATAGTTATGATCAAGCGTGGGTTTGGCTCTTTTCTGAGGGTGTTTTTGTTTTTTCAGTTATAGCAAAATAACACCAAGCTGAGGAATATGCCTATATAAGCAGTTTCCTACAAACTCTGGATTTTGATTTCTACTGTTTTGTATCCCTACATAACAAGGAAATAGAAATTTTTAAATCATATTAAGTGAATCAGAATTTAAAGACTATGGAAATCACGAGAGAAGCGGTTGTAGGATAATTTTGTTGCTGCGCAGTCACTAAGTTGGGTCTGACTCTTTGTGACCCCGTGAACTACAGCACGCCGGGATTCTTTGTCCTTCACTATCTCCCAGAGTTTTCTCAAACCCACATCAATTGAGTCAGTGATGCTATCCAACCATCTCATCCTCTGCCACCCCCTTCTAGAATGATTTATCAAAGAAAAATAGGACTCCCAATACTGCCCCCGTGGTCCGGTAGCTCAGACTGAGCTCCCAACGCAGGTGGCCTGGGTTGCATCTCTGGTCAAGAGCCCATATGCTGCAACTAAGACCCAGCCATTGCTTGTCGGCTTTTTCTCCCTTTCAACCAGAAAAATATTAAACAAAGAGAATATCTTAGAAAGATTAACCTAGCAGTAGTTCCAAGGTGGTGTTAGCAAAGGCACTGGGGCAGAAAGCCTGACTGTGGTCCGACAGAGAGAAGGAGCCGAGCTGAGAGTGGAGGCATCTCAGAGGAAAGAAACCGTGCGCAGAAACTCATGGGGCAGAAGAAGCCAGAGAGAGGAGGGGCACACCGCAGGTGTACTTCTGCCAAACAGGAGTCCGAGGAAGGGAAAGGTTTGTTTTAAAGAAGCTGACTTTGAGAGAATGGTGGTCAGTTGTCCAGGCGAATCCTGGAGGCAGAACACAGATGTTCAGGGCCATGGACCGTGACGGGTGGTGTAGTTTAGGAATTAACCAGGTGGAAATTGTATTTGGTCTGTGAGAATTCATCATTCCCAGGAAGTGATTCTGAAGTCAATAAAAGGGCAGACACAAGACTCTGGGGCATGTGTAGCAATGGAGACCACCTGGGGCAGACACCTGCCAGGGAAGGAGAAAGCCTCGTTACCGTGTTCCTGGTAAAAAGAAAGGCAGTGTTCGTAAAATACGCAACGTGGGGTGTCCCTGGTGGCTCAGCTGGTAAAGAATCTGCCTGCAGCATGGGAGACCTGGGTTCAATCCCTGAGTTGGGAAGATCCCCTGGAGAAGGGAATGGCAACCCACTCCAGTGTTGTTGCTTGGAGAATCCCACGGACAGAGGAGCCTGGTGGGCTACAGTCCACAAAGTCGCAGAGAGCTGGACACGACTGAGCACATAAACTCTAACTTGTCACACCTCAAAGTACTTAATCCAATCTGAATAAACTTCAGGCATGTTTCTTGTGCAAAGCTGAGAGAAGGAACATCTGGACAACCAGACGCTGGTTCCAGAGCGAGCCTGTGCTCTCTGCGGGTCTGTCAGAATTTCATGTTTTCGAAACAGATGGGTCAGGAGCGAGTAATCATAGTTCACCTCTCCTGAACCACCAGCGCGTGTGGGTGTGGAAATCCTCGGGGCGCAGGTGCTGGCCGTGCTCCTGGTCTAGAGTGGGGCCCCCGGAGCCAGGAGGAAGGTCCGCCTGCCCAGCCTCTTCCAGGCCCAGCCCGCCGACCCCCATCACATTGCACAGAGAGTGAATTTATCCTCCGGGGAAAAAAAATCCAGTCTGATTTTTTTGTTGTTGTCGGGGAGGGCAGGTATCTTTGTGCTTTTGGCTGACTTGGGGGGGTTCATTCCACAGGTCGTTTCAGTAGTTTTCTCTGGGGAGCCCCTGGTCCCGGCCAGCACCCCGTTAGAGTCTTGATCCTGGTGCGTGCCGGGTTTCGCCTGCTGGCAGAGCCCTGTGGGAACTGGTGACTCAGCCTCGTTTCCTACAAATACGAAAAAGTGGACCCGAGGCAATGCTTTTTTAAAAGATTGATTGATTGGTTTACCGGCTATGGTGGGTTTCATTGCCCCGCAGGCCTTTCTCTAGTTGCGGCACGCGGGGGCTCATCTAGGTTCTGACGGCTTCTCACTGCGGTGGCGTCTCTTGTTGCAGAGCACAGGCTCTAGGAGTTGTGGTACATAGACTTAGTTGCTCCAAGGCACGTGGGATCTTCCCCACCCAGGGATCGAACCCACGTCTCCTGCATTGGCAGGCGAATTCTTTACCACTGGGCCACCAGGGACGTCCGAGGCATCGTTTTTGTTAGGTTTGCCTATTAAGCACCCAACAGGCTCGCGGGGAGCCAGATGTGCTGTGGGGTCTGCACAGGTCCATCAGCAAACCTGAGTGCCCTTGGTCGGTGGAGACGGTCACTGAGCTTCTGCCGTGTGAGTGTGAGGGGCCTTCGGGGGAGGCCCCACGGGGCTGCAGAGAAGTGGCTGGAGGCGGGGGAGAAGGTGTGGAGGGGCTCCTGCTGGGGGCACAGCAGCACCCGGAACTCAGGGGCCTGGGCTGGGCCGTGAGTAGGAGGAGAGGGTCTAACGCCGGCGAAGGTGGACCCTTGTGTCTTAAGGAAGGCAGTTGAACTTGAACCTGAAAGCTACAGGGATTTGTGAAAGGGCTAAGTGACAGAGCAGCAAGTTGGGTGGTTGGACGGGGCGAGGCTGGGGCACAGCAGAGACCTTTAGGACTGGCCCACGAGCCCAGGGCCAGCTGACAAGGAGCCCCTGACGTTCCAACTCGCTTCTTGCAGGAAGCGCAGAGCTTCATTTTCCCAATGGAAAGGCCTCTTTCAGAGCCGCCGGGTTCAGAGCACGTGGGTCTCCGCAGCATGAACTGTGTACACATAGGTTTTAGTCCCACAGCAAATAATGTTGCTGTTTAGTCGCCCAGTCGTGTCTGACTCTTTGTGTCCGCATGGACTGTAGCCGGCCAGGCTCCTCTGTCCATGGATTTCCCAGGCGAGAATCCTGGAGTGGGTTGCCATTCCCTTCTCCAGGCCGTCATCCCAACCCAAGGATTGAATCTGTGTCTCCTGCATTGGCAAGTGGGTTCTTTACTACTGAGCCGCCTGGGACAGTGTTAGTAAGTGTTAGTCGCTCAGTCATGCCTGACTCTTTGCAACCCCATGGACTGCAGCTCACCAGGCTCCTCTGTCCATGAGATTTTCCAGCCAAGGACACTGGAGTGGGTTGCCATTTCCTTCTCCAGGGGATCTTCCCAACCCAGGGATCGAACCCGGGTCTCCTGAACTGCAGGCAGATTCTTGACTGACTGAGTCACCTGAGAAGCCCCAGCAGATAATACTCAGGGTGAAATAATTTGTTTCAAAACTCTGAAGTGCGCTAAGAAGGAGGATAATTTGCTGACAGGAGTGATTTACCTTCCTAACTGTGCCCAGTGTTGGCAAAAGGTCTGATGTAGCATGCTCTAATTATATTTAATGTCCATATTGCCAGTATTATGTCAAAGAATATTAGCAAGCAAGGATGCCTGTTACTTCACATGAAAGAAAATTGCAGCCTGTCATTTTAATACACAGCCTCTATCATTTTAAATAGACAAGAATGCTTTCAACCCAACTGGATTTAAAGGACACTTCGCACATTGACCCGTGCAAAGGTCACAGTATAAATCAATTGACATAAGTGATGGCTGCATGTTTTGATTGCTCTCGGCGAGTAAATATGAGCAGATCTCTGCTTGGCCAGGAAACGTGAACACCTGTATTTCTCTAGTGTTTCAGTCGCTCAGCCTGTCTGACTCTTTGCAACCCCATGGATTGTAGCCAGCCAGGCTCCTCTGTCCATGGAATTCTCTAGGCAAGAATACTGGAGTGGGTTGCCATTCCCTTTTGCAAGGGATCTTCCCCACTCAGGGGTCGAACCCAGGTCTCCCTCATTGCAGGCAGATTCTTTCCAGTCTGAGCCACCTGGGAAGGCCCTGGCATTTCTCTCTAGACCGGCACATAATGGCAAGAACGGCAAAGGAAGTGAGCTGTGAGCAGTAGCAGAGGTGATCGATCACTCCCTGGCAGCGAGCTGGGAAGGGAAGCTGGGACCACTGGGCAACACAACCGCAAAGCAAGCGGCAAGAAAGAAAACAAAGGCCGTGAAAAGGAGGCGGTGGAAATCCGGTGTGCACAGAGCAACCCTCTGTCTTCCTTGAAAGGCTTTCGAAATATGCATCCATTTCTTTATGTCGTGACCTTCCTCTCTCCACCCTGCAGAATTTCTCAGTTCTCCACATACTGGAGCATTGGCATCGGTGGCAGGAAAAAGTGGGACCGTGGCTTTATAGACACATATGGAAACCAGCTCTCAGCACACCTAAGTCCAGAATCAATGAACTCAGGCCAAACGGAAAACGTGACCACCGCTAAATCCCACGGCCCAAAGAGGGATGCCGCCCGTGCCATGAACCATCCAGCAGACACGCAATCGCTTCTGTATCTTCAGCTTGAATCTGAATTTCTCAGAGGATTTGGGGGAGTAAAAGCATGATCTTTTCAAATATTTTAAAGCCCTGACTAACTAGCAGTTGACGTTGAGGTTGCCCTTTCTTTCTTTCCAATGGATGGTTGACGTTTCTGTGACCGCAGCACTCACCTGACCCCACGCCATCCCAGCCTTCAGGCCTGACCCCACGGCTGTGCTCCAAATGTCCCCTTCTGCTGCACACCGGATCCGATTTGTCACAGCTCTTCTGTTCAGGTTGTAATCCAGGCCTGCTGTGCGCAGGGCAGAAGGGCAGCCAGTGGGAACAAAATACAGAGTCGTGTAGACCACGAGTGGGTATCGGGGACTTCACACCACCCTGTGTAGACGGGGGAGGCTCAGGTAGAGACAGAAAGCACTGTCCTGGTGACTGAGTGAAGATCCTAAGGATGATTCAACTTCCTGCACTGTCTCACACATCCTGTGCGTGTGTGCCAAGTCGCTTCAGTCGTGTCCAACTCTTTGTGACCCCACGGGCTGCAGCCCACCTGGCTCCTCTGTCCATGGGAGTGGCTTTGCCGTGCTCTCCTCCAGGGGATCTTCCTGACCCAGGGGCCCAGCCCCATCCCTTACGTCTCCTGCATCGGCAGTGAGTTCTTCACCTCTAGCACCACCTGGGAAGCCCTATACGCATCCTGTTAATTATCAAAAGAGGGTAATATGGTGGCACAGTGGTAAAGAACCCTGTGCAGGAGACATAAGAGAGGTGGGCTCGATCCCTGGGTCAGGAAGATGCCCTGGAGGAGGGCGTGGCGATCCACTTCAGTATTCTCACCTGGAGAATCCCATGGACAGAGGAGCCTGGTGGGCTGCCGTCCACGGGTTGGCAAGAGTCAGGCACGACTGAAGCGACTTAGAATGCACGCATACACACATATGTATACTTACTTTATGGATGCCAGGGAACCTTTTTCTTTTTTAGAGAGAGAGATTGAAATGGACATGTTTAAAAAATTAATAGCCGACTGAAGAGCTGTCTTTTCCATTCCTCATCTCAAGTTTTCTCTTACCTTTGGTCAGGGATTCAACTTCAACTGCAAGATAGGCTGGTCTGAAAGAACTCACTGTGACTGAAGGACTGGAATTTAGCAAAATACGTTGGAAAGTGGTGGTGTATGGTAGACGTGTGGGTGTACTTATTAACTGCAAGAAATATGATTATAAGGGGACAGTTTAAGGACTTTAATTGTAGGGATTCCTATTGTTTAATAACCAACATGCCTTTTAAATTTACTAAATAAAACCCAGTATGTAAAGCAATTGACTCTGGTTTTGAAGGTGCATTTGCATCAGTGTAAGAGGTCCTTGCGGGTGGGGGTTCACGTGGTGTCTAAGGGAAGGCCCTGTGGCCAGGGAGCCCCACCGAGAAGAATCCCCGTGGAGTCCGGGAAGGTCCTGGGGACTCAGTGAGCCACACACCACGCCCACCAAGGGGACCGAGAAATGTTAGCAGCAGCGTCTGGGCGGAGTCGGGGAGCACCCAGAAGAGTAATTTCAGGGCGGAGGCTCTCAGCGAGGAGTCAAGTCCATAAACAGGAAACAAGCCACTGGGTGAGTGAAGACCCCCCTGAGCTTCAGGAAGGCCTGGAGCAGGCTGGACGGCAGAGTGTGGGTGCCGAGACCCCCATTCACCGACAGGAAGGGTGGGCCCTCAGACACGGGTGCTCCGTTAGTATAAAGGGACACCCAGATCCCCATCCACGCAGGCATCCCTCAACCTTTGTGGTTTTGCCATAGTTACGCACCCAAGACTAGAAACTCACCTCGCACAAAAGAACACATGTACTGCTCCCCACTCCAGTAGCCAGCGGGGATATCTATGAGGGGCTTCCCAGTGGCTCAGTCGTAAAGACTCCACCTGCAGTGCAAGATCTGCAGGAGACACGGGTTCAATCCCCGGGTTGGGAAGATCCTCTGGAGGAGGGAAGGGCAACCCACTCCAGTTTACTGGCCTGGGAAATTCCTTGGACAGAGGAGCCTGGCGGGCTATGGGGTCACAAAGAGACAGACATGAATGAAGCAATTTAGCAGAAATAGCACACACACCCATCTATGAGGTCGTTTAAAGAATCGCCAACTGAAACTCTGGCGCCGGAATACACAGATAGAAGGCGAGCCCAGACTTATTCATTTGATCCTTTTTTAGAAGACCAAGCAGTTACACCATCATTTTGACAAGCATTTAATTCTTTAACAGGGGATCAAGAAAATGCTCAAAACATTTCAATACAACAGTGGCTGAATCAAATGCAGTCTGTTTAGTATTCAATTTGGGAGGAAAGTCAGCCTCAATCAGAGCACCTCAGCTGCGTTTCAGGAGAAAAATTACTTCCTGGGGTCAGTTTTAATCACTGAAAAATCTGTTTTATTCTGGAAAAGCGATTTGCTTTTCGTGAAAATATCCTTGATGCTATTTTTATTATTTGTATCTGACCTGTTGTTTGCTGGCTCTGTGCCCAGTGCCCGGGTTTTGCCAGTCTTGGAACATTTCAAGAAGTAACCCCTGGGGGCGGCCATCTGCAGATGAAGTGCAAAATCCGTAATCTGGCAGAAAACTCCTAATTAATCAGGCCCACACTGACGTTTATGTCCTAAAACCAAAAGTGGTTATTTTAGCAATGTTTGCTGACCACTGAAGAGATTTGAAGACCTAAAAAAAAAATCCTAAAATTTGTTTTCAGATTTAGAGAATGAGGACAAATATGCTGCCTGAATTTCCAAGTTAAATGAGCACGGTTCCCAGATCCAGAGGCTCTGGATGAGACGGGTCACGAGGCCGCTGGATTGACAGAGGGCGGGCTGACATCAGTACGTGCTAATCTCCCAGCTTGTGAACACAGTGAAAGGTGACATCCTCGACTAAGCGTGGGTGCGGAGCAGCAGAAGAGGCTCCGTTGTGGGCGTCGGCAAGAGCAGGTGTCAAGGGAGATGACCCACAACTCTGCTTATCCGTTGCTGTCCCCTTTATGTCCCTGTGACCCTAGGAAGGGGTCAGACCACCCCAGGAGGCAAGGACAGACCGGCTTGTCCTTTCATAGACCTTGGGGTGGGTTAATGCAGCATCCCCATCAGATGAACAAAACCCAAAATGAGCAGACAGGACTCAGGGCTTCCCTGCTGGACAGACTGAAGCGGTCAGGGCTTTGCTCCAGAGAGGGGACCAGCAGAAGTGGGAACAGCAGCATTGCAAAGCAACTGAGACTCCCAGAGAGGACTGCGGGTTTTCTTCTTCCTCACACCCCTGCATTCTCGAAGTGGGCTGACACCTGTTGAGTCGGAAACAATCTCATTCACTTTTTGGAGGGTACATGTCTGGGGCCAGGTGCTGGATGGATTCCAGGAGGAGTCAAGGAGTGCGGATGCTTGAGATTTCTTGCTGTTTAAGGGGCTCTTGAAAACCGTGATCCATCTTTGTCACTCTGTCAACCAGGGCCCCGCAGAAGGCCTTGGGGCTGGAGGGAAGAGCTAACACTACTGATGAGAACATGCATTAGATTCCATAGTAACCACTGGAAGCATGCCTTTTCATTGGAAGCCTAGGCTGTACAAGATTGCTATGTCTTTTTGGATAAGGACTGAGAAAGGTTAAATCATGCAGGCAGTCTCCAGACCTCCGGAACTGGGTTCTGACCCACTGGGGTGACTGTGAGCCCAACCTCTCCTCTGACTGATCCCTACAGAAAACCAGGTCCCAGTGCCTCACTTCTGTGAGTTGCTTCAGAGACTCTCCCAAGTTTCATTCAATTCTGCAAACGTGTAAGTAGGATAAAGATGGCATGTTCCAAAAAGGACAACATTAACTTTGCCAGATAACACCCAACGCAGTAGGAACAATAGGAAGACACGCAGTTCACCTGCCCGGAGAATTCACCTGGATGAACCAAGAATAAGAAGTCGAGGGGACAGCCAGGAGGTGAGGCCCTGATGCAGTCAGGGCCTTTTAGGACCCCTTCTCTTCCCTCCTGTCACCGTAAAAAAAAAGTATTTAAATAGATTTGCAAATAGAATTAAGAGACTGAGAGCTGGGGAGAGAAAGACTGGGGAGGAAGGGGGCGGGGTTTGGAAATTTTTCCCGGGAGGGGTGGCGCGGGGGCCAAGGATGGTGGCTCCCCCTGCAGCCATCCGTGGAGGGGGCGCGTGCCTGTCTCACCTCTCACTGGGGGTTTTGCTGCTTTCAAACATTCCTTGACGTTCATCTGTCTTTCCTCCCTGCACTTTGACCCTCTCCACCTCCTGGCGCCCGCGGGGGAGCAGAGGCGAGCCTGCTAAAGCTCCCGAAGGGCCGGGGAGGTGACCGCGGGGCAGGTGGCTCGGGCTGGTCCCCTGCACCAGGCCCTTGCAGCCGCTGTACCACATGCTTCCCCTTGCAACTTTCTGCTCCGGGACAGATGGGTCGTCTCCGCCTGGGTGCACTGGAGATGCTCTGCGGCTCAAAGCTCCCTCCTCGCTTTAAAGGCAGGAAGGGTGCCGCCCCCCCGCCCCCCGCCCCCAGACTCTCAGCTGGCTCTGCTTGGCTGAGCCCCCCGGGGATGCGCGCATCCATCCGCATTCGAGCGGGGTTGCCCATCTACCGCCGCTGAGCTCCCACCGCTTGGTTTTCTCGAAGACTTCCTGCGGCGAGCGCTCCTCGGTGCATCCGGCTCCCTCCTCACTGTCCCTCCTGCCCCTCCCTAGGCGCCCCACCTGCCATTACCCCGCCCCACGCCTCCTTCTGTGCACCCCGAGTTCTCAATGGCTTCTTGGCCATTCAGAGGAAATGGACCTTGACCGCATGGCCAGGAGTGCCATCTTCCCGACAAGCTTCCGGTACCCCGCCGCCTCATTTGATTCCCTTTTTCTGGAGGGCGCATCCACCACCCACCACTCACCCCCACCACAACCCAGCCTTTGATAAAACAACGTGAACATCCCTGTCTTTTTTGTCAGCCTAGGGACCAAAAACCAAAATAAAATAACCGAAAGCAGAGGAATGATTGAGAGTGAGAAAATTACAATATCAGGATGGAACTTGAAGCACATTCCTGGAGCAGCTGTCAACGTGTTAGCCCGGATTTGGAAGAAAATGTTAGTGTGAGGACCTCAGAGTACAGGATGAGTCACTGTTTTGATAAAATATTTCCTACTGAACCTTCCGTATAGATCTGCCCCATCCACCCACCCTCCAAAACATCTATTTGCTGGTTTTTTAGCATTTATCTTTGTAAACCCATGTTTTTACTCATTGAGTAAAATTCAGTTGAAGAACACTTCAGTTGGTTAAACACAGGCTTGCCTCCATCCTTCAGCTGTCTTTCTATTGAAGTGCAGCGGATGTACTGGCGTTCTGTTCAGTTCAGTCGCTCAGTCATGTCCAGCTCTTTGTGACCGCAGGTGACTCTCACAAAGAGTATTGGAGTGGGAAATAACGAAACACTCCAGTATTCTTACCATGGAAAATTCCATGGACAGAAGAGCCTGGTGGGCCAGTCTGGGGGCTCACAAAGACTCCGACACGACGGAGCAGCTGAGCACACACACAGTTGGTGCACAGTGTCGTCTTAATTTCGGGTGTACGGCAAAGTGATTCCGTTTCGTGTGTGTGTGCATATATATGCACTTTGCACACACACATATGCACACACACACACATATATATAAATGCAGTTATTCTTTTTCAGACTCTCTTTCCTTATGGGTTATCACGAAATATTGCATGTAGTTCCCCGTGCTATAAGTAGGTCCTTATGGGTGACCTGTTTTATATAAAGCAGTGTGTATGTTAACCCCACATATAATTTATCCCTCCCCCTACAGCCTTTCCCCATTTGGAACCATAAGTTTGTTCCCTGTTTCATTTCTTAAGTTCCTTTTTTGAAAGTATCTACTTTTCCATTCTTGTTGTCAAAAAAAAAAAATAGTTCTTTCATCGAAAAGGAGAGGAGAGTTGGGGCGCTAAGGTGTCGCGCGTGAGGCAGGCGGGCTGCGCTGGGACGCCAGCTCGTTACTGGGCCAGCGCAGGGGGCGGGGGAGACACATCCAGGTGTGGCTCTTCCTGCCTAGACCAGGTGGGAAGGGGAACCCACTCAGCTGAGCGTCTGCACATACGGAGCAGACGTATGTGTAGTGTAGTGGCAGGAAGATGGTAAACATCCTGCCTAAAGGCGTCTTGTGGATGGAGCATGTAGAGCATATAGCCCAGGAAAATGTTTCACGAACATTTTGTCTACAATGTCCACTTTTAGTGATTCACTGCAAAACGTATATCATTTTTCTTGTGTCTTATTTATTAAATTCCTACTTGATTTCAGCTTAGGTTAGGTGCTGAGGATTTAAAGGTGAATTCGATTCATTTCTGCCTTCATGGAGCTTCTTGTCTAGTATGGGAATGTAGGCATGCAAATGGTTTTGAATGTACTTTAAGTTGTTTTCTTTTCCATAGCTGCCCTCCTATATATGGCTGTAGATGCAATTAGTGCAGCTTCCGTAAGGACACAGGTCTTCCTGGTGGCTCAGTGATAAAGAACCTGCCTGCTAGTGCAGGAGACCTGAGTTTGATCCCTGGTTTGGGACGATCCCGTGGAGAAGGGCATGGCAACCCACTCCAGTATTTTTGCCTTGGAAATCCCATGGACAGAGGTGCTTGATTGGCTACAGTCCATGGTGTTTCAGAGTTGGACACAGCTGAGCTGAACAACTTAGCAATCTAGTAAGCAAGTTGTAGGCACACAGGAAGTTAGATGTGTGACGTTGGAGTTGGGTCAGAAAAATATGTTTGAAGGTCCCTGCACATAAAACAAAATTGAAATCATGGGAGGAATCAAGATGACACAGGAAGAATATGTATCATGACAGGAGAACAGAACAAGGGTGTAAGTTCAGAGATTTTAAGTGTCTGAAAGATAAATTCTGGGATGATAGCAGTTTATATTCAGAGGTGATTCATCTGATAAAATGGGCCACACTATAAAAAATATACCCCTTGGTGCCACTAAACATTGGTTCCAAAAGGTGGAATAATCAAGTTCAATCATTTCTTCCATCTATGACTCAAGCAGGTTGTAAGCATACATCACATCTTCAATATTATGCCAGACATCATGGTTATCTGTACCATGAAACAAAGCCCTGCCTTCTTGAGACTTAGAATTTATTAGTCAAAATAAATCTAACCTGAGACAACTGAAAAACTCTATGAAGTGTCCTAATAAGGATCACTATAAGCAGTAGGATAATAAATACACTGAACAGAGTTAAGTGGAAAGCATGCAATCTGGAATGTCTTTATGGAGAAACTGGGACGAATGTGGTCAGGTCATGTAGGTAGAATTTGGATATGTAGAGGGGATTCCTGGAGAAGGAAATGGCAACCCACTCCAGTGTTCTTGCCTGAGGAATCCCAGGGACGGGGGAGCCTGGTGGGCTGCCGTCTGTGGGGTCCCACAGAGTCGGACACGACTGAAGCGACTTAGCAGTGGCAACAGAGGGGATTCCAGGTAGAACATACTGGATCAAACCCTTTTTAAAGTTTTTTTGAGGTGACATTGATTTATACCATTATAGAAGTGTCATATGTATGACACTCGATTTCCATTTCTGTATACAACACAGCCTGGTCACTACCGGAAGTTTCCGTCATCACCGTACAGTTAATCTCTACCCATTTCACCCTGCCCTCCACTTTGCCTCGCTGGTAACCACTACTTTATTATCTCTATCTACATGTCTCTTTGGCCTGTTCATTTATTTTGTTTCTGCTTGTTGATTGGTTTTTATATTCCAAATTCAAGTAAACTTATATTTGTCTTTCTCTATCTGACTCAAATAACTTAGTGCAATATCCTCAAGGTCCATCCATGCTTCACAAGTGCCAAGATTTTATCTTCATTGTGTTTATATGTACCACATCTTCTTTATCCGTCCAAAAGTTGATGGACACTTAGGTTGCTTCTATACATTGGTTGTGAATAATGCCTCAGTGAGCAGGGGGGGTGCAGATATCTTCTTAGATTAGTATTTTTGTATTCTAAAGAGGCAGACGTGACTTATCAACTGAACAACAACTTCTTTGGGTAAATACCCAAAAGTAAGATACTTGGATCCTATGGTAGTTCTGTTCTTCATTTTTTGAGGAATTTCCGTAGTGTGGATTGAACTCTCTTGAGTCAAAGCAGGAGGATGGAGGTGGATGGTAAAGACACCTGCCTTGCAGCTTCACACACATGAAGCAGACCTGAAAGAAGGTGTCTCTGAGGCTAAGCTTTAGGGCATGCGCCTCATCCACACAGGCCCCTTCTAAGGCTCAGTACCTAATTTTAGAGTCAAATTCTGTAACGTTTTTCCTAAAAGTGAAAGTGAAAGTGAAGTTGCTCAGTCGTGTCCGACTCTTTGCGACCCCATGGACTGTAGCCCGCCAGGATCCTCCATCCATGGGATTTTCCAGACAAGAGTACTGGAGTGGGTTGCCATTTCCTTCTCCAGGGGATCCTCCCAACCCAGGGATCAAACGCAGGTCTCCCGCATTGTAGGCAGATGTTTTACCGTCTGAGCTACCAGGGAAGTCCTAGAGGTGAGTCCCATAGTTTTGTAAGCTCCAGGCCCCACCAACCTAGACCAGTCATCCCACCGTGATGGCCCTTCCCAAGCTGAACTGCCCTCCTTGTGTGTGCACACCTGCCTCTCCCAACGGGAAAGAGTTTCTCTTCGTCATCTATCACTGTCCGCACCTGGTGAGAGTTCAGCTCACAGCTATTTCATCTGCATGACCCTAGAGCCAGGCCCAAGCTGTGAAGTGTTGAAAATGATGATGGCTATACCAGGCCGCCTTAGGGTGGAGGAGAAAATCTGATGGAGGAGGCAGATGGGTGTGGAGGGGAAGTGGTGCAGGAAGAAAGCGTGCTCCATGGCAGGATGCAGATGGCTCGAGGAGAGAAGCACGAGGCAGGGCGATGAGTGGACAGGCCTTGAGATCATCAGGGGCGGAGGGAGGGGAGACACAACCCCAGTGCAGGCAGTGATGGTCACTTTCGGCCTCTGGCAGTACAGATCGCTTTGTTCAGCATAGTTATCAGTGACCCTAAGAATCACCTTCATCCATCTCTTCTCCGCATGCCTTCTCCATCATTGGTACCATGACCAACTACAGTTACTACTGATTGAGTCACCCATCTTATCCGAGACACTAAGAAACCATTGGTAGAATGCCAGGACAAATACTAGCTGTCTTTAGTGAAGTGAAAGTCACTCAGTTATGTCCCACTCTTTGCAACCCCATGGACTAGTCCATGGGATTCTCCAGACCAGAATCCTGGAGTGGGTAGCCGTTCCCTTCTCCAGGGGATCTTCCCAACCCAGGGATCAAACCCAGGTCTTCCACACTG